ACACACACACATACACACACATATACAATACACACACATACCCCCACACACACATACACACACACATACACACACATATACACACACACATACACACACATATACAATACACACACATACCCACACACACACATACACACACACCATATTCACAACACGGTAGCATGCATGTCCTAAGTCCTCCGATTGGATTTTATTCTATTTCCTGATGAGGAAATCAGCTCAGAGAGGTCAAGTGGAGGCTGCCGAGAGGGTTAGCGGAAGGGGCAGGATCGGAATCGTGGCCTTCCTGTGGTAATGCCAGTAGGAAGTGTCAGAACCGAGATGATTGAGTGGGTTATACAAGCTGCACCCCTGCAGGAGGCTATCTGCCTGAGGGACAAGGGCCCTGTTAACATTGCAATATATAACCGCCCAGGCCTGTAGGACTGGGTGTTCCTTCTGACCCCACCGCTAGACACACTTGCTTTTGTCACCTGGGACCTCTTAACTCTTGATGTGATCCTCACCCTATGTTTATCCCCAGGGCCAGCTGTACAGGGGCCTCGCTGACTGCCTGGTGAAGATCTGCCAACAGGAGGGGCCCCTAGCACTCTACAAGGGCCTAGGCCTTGCCTATTTGCGCTTGGGCCCCCACACCATCCTTAGCATGTTCTTCTGGGATGAGCTGCGGAAGCTGACCACAAGGGCCCAGCACCAGGGCACCTAGCCTTGTCCCTCAGCCCACCACCAAGCCCGGCATTTGGTGGAAGTGATGGCCGGCTTCAGCAGAACTGGCTGCCCTGAGCCAGCTTGAGTCAGGCCCAGATCGGGGAAGTGAGTCAGGATTATGGACAACTGTGATCAACTGGAGCCCCAGGACTAGTTCACCCCAAGTCACCGTCCCTTCACCCTTTCCTCTCCCCTGGGTTACCATGCTGTAGTATATTGCCGTAGTAGCACCCTCATGAAAGGGTGCCCACGGACAGAGCCACGCAGTGACACCGGCTCCTCCGTCCTCCAGCCGCTGTGGGACCACACAATCCTCTCGGAGCACAAGGAAACTGAGACACCACTCTGGCTGGAGCCACAGGGCTTTGTGGTGACAGACACAGGACTATGGTTGGAATCTGCCCAACCCAATCCTTTGCTCTCAGCAAGGGAACAGTCAGAACCCTTGGGCCACAGATCCCTCAGAAACCACGGCACATGAGGAGACTCATGGTTGAGCCCCCAGGGAGGCCTTGGGGTCCCCAGACTCTAGCTGGTCAAAGTTCCAAAGCCTTGGCAGCTTGAAAAACAAAAACCTATTTTCTTACTTTCAGAAGCCTGGAAGCCCAAGAAGGTATTGGCAGTGTTAGCATTTATTTCTGTTACTTGTGATGTGGTAAAACCAGGGTCTGGGCATGTTAGTTACGCGATTGACATCCTTAGCCCAGGGCTTACTTCTCCAGAGGCCTCTGTCCCTGACTCTGAGCTGGGCAGCTTCTTCCCAGTCGGGCTGGGGACAGATCAGCCGGCAGCCTGTCTGCCTGGTGCTCACGAAGCCCTGGGTTCCATCCCCAGCACCGAATAAACCGGGCCTGATGGCACATGCCTGTGATCTCAGCACTGCACACACAGGTAGAGCCAGGAGGACCAGGGGTTCAAGTTCATTCTCAGATGCATGGTGAGTTTGAGGCCAGCCTGGGCTACGTGAGACCCAGAGAGAGGAGAGAGAGAAAAGGGGGGGGAAGAGGGGGGAGAGAGGAGAGAGGGGGAAGAACAGAGAGAAGAGCAGAGTGGGGGAGAGAAAGAGGGGTAAAGAAAGGGAGAGGCGGGGGCTGGAGAGATGGCTCAGTGGTTAAGAGCATTGCCTGCTCCTCCAAAGGTTCTGAGTTCAATTCCCAGCAACCACATGGTGGCTCACAACCATCTATAATGAGATCTGGTGCCCTCTTCTGGCATACAAACATACATGGAAGGAATGTTGTATACATAATAAATAAATAAATCTTTAAAAAAAAAAAAAAAAGAAAGGGAGAGGCGTGGGGATGGGGAGAAGAGACAGGGAAACGCAGTTATATTGGACAGGGCCGGCACAGGGACCGCATGTTAAATTAGAGGTAGCTACCACTGTCTCCACTGTCCCCTCCTGAGGAACTGGGGTTAGGCCTTCAGCACGAACCTGGGAGCATCCCTGAGTTCAGACTTTTATTGAGGGCTTCCCATTTGTGTACATCCAGAGGGTGCTCAGGAGGTGGGGGCTCAGATAAGAGGGTGCCCTTTCTCCGGACTGCAGCCACACTCCAGAAGACTGTTGAGACAGGTGTATTGGTAAGGCCCCCAGTAACCAACACCCCGGCCAGGCAGCTCCAACCACCTTCCCCAACCACATCCCAAGTGCGAAAAACTGCTCTAGACCGACACTCCAATAAAGTTTTCTATTTTGTGTACTTCCGCGACTCCCTTCTGCTTCCCTGACCCTGACTCCCAAACTCTCAGCTCGCAAGCCCTTTCTAGGAAGGACCCAGAAACCAGCCGCCACCTGCCCAGGTGAGGCCTGCCACCTAGTGGACCCAAGAGGAACAGTATGTCCGAGAGGCAGGCGGCATTCGGCCAGAGTCTTCAGTGGATTCCAAACCCCTCTTCCCCTGAGGCCTAGAGAAACTAGACTTCTAGACCTCAGAAGGGGCGACAGAGGCTGTGCGGAAGACCCTGTGCTTTGGAAACTTGGGTGGAGTGCGGGACACACCTGCGTCTGGGAAGGCCGGGTGAGCAGAGGGACTTTCGGAAGGCATGGTGAGCTTGACCGTCTAGCGGGAACAGACAGCACTAGAGTTAACTGCTTTGCCCTTCAGGCCTAAATGAGAAGCCACCAGCGGCAGCGGGCTGACAGCACCCCCTTGATTGCTGCTGGCTGGACGGTCTAAAGCTTCTGGCTCTCCTGCTCCGCCCCCAGGTCTTTGACCCCGTCCTAGTCCCGCCCCTGTCCTGTGGAGACACCTTTGACCGGTGATGTCACTGGGTCTGTCCCAGCACAGACCCGGCCCGAGGCTGGGGCTGGATTCCTGGAGGCTGCCATGTTCTCCCTCCCTTCCCTCTCCTCCTGGCTCCCCGGCTTCCCTTCTTTTGAGTGGGGTTCCAGTCTCTTCGACAGCCTCCTGCAAGGTGAGCACCTCCTAGATGCGCATTGGGCTCCGCCCCCTCCTCGGGTGGGCGGGGTGCAGGGTGGGCCTCACCACCCACGTGGGGGGGGGCGGCTCCTCACCTAGCTGCCCCCTGCGCTAACCCTGCCACCTCCCCTACGATCCTAACGCCCCCCTCACCCTCTCCTTTGTCCTGCTCAGGCCTAATCGGGGCCCTCGGAGTCTCGGTTCTCAACAGTCTCCTGAAAGTTTACTTCTTCGTGGCCTGTGTCAAGTGAGTGCCCACGTCGGTGCCACCCAGCCCTACCCAGGCAGTTGGTCCCTGCGCGGAATCTGGCTTCCGCAAAGAGTGGGGCTGGGACCCTGGCATCCCTCCCAGGACCGGACACTGTGATTCCAACTCCCAGCCTGCACCCCATTCTGCCCCCACAGTGACCCCCAGCGGCAGACCCATAAGCAGCGGCTGCGAGCGCAGTGGGCCTCACTGGAGACAGTGCACCTGGCCGGTCTGACCCTGTTCCTGACCGTGGTGGGGGCCCGGGTGGCCGCCCTCGTGGTACTGGAGTTCTCCCTCCGGGCTGTGTCCACAGTGCTGTCCCTGAGCAAGGTGAGACTGCAGGGTGGGGCCACTCTGGGCCACTTTCTTCCTCTGCATTGGGAAGTAGGGTTCTTTTCCCTCTGGTGGAGACCAGTGATTGTAGTTTGTCACCTGGAGTTTGGATTGCCAAAGTAACATCTCCATGGCAGCACAGACAGAGCTCTATCCCCCTCCCCAAAAATGTCAGTTCTGTGAGCTAGGAATGTGATTCAGTTGATAGAGTGCCTGCCTAGCATGCACTAAGCCCTGGGTTTGATGCCCCTCTGTGTAAACCCAGGCATGGTGGCTCATTCCTGTACTCCCAGCACTTGAGAGAGGTGGAGGCAGGAGGATGAGAAGTTCAGGGTCATCCTTGACTATTGGGTTTGAGGCCAACTTGGAACACATGAGATCTTCTGGTCTCAAAAATAAAATAAAGTAAAATAAAATAAGTCCTGTGTTGCCCTGGCTAGGTACCTTGTGGGCTTTGGCCCATATTGTCCTGACAGCTGTCCTGACCTTATCTCCACAAGTGGGGAAACTGAGGCTCAAGGGAGCACATGGTTTATCTGTGATCAATAGTCTTCAGGGAGTAAGGTGTGAAACCAGGTCTTTAAGGCCCTGCGCCATCACCCTCCAGCCACAGATGGGCAAGAGAAACCCACGTGCGGTCTTCCCCAGTGCAGCCTAACCTGGACTCCTTTTCCCTGCAGGGCTCGGGGGACAAGGAGCGGCTCCAGCTCTTCTTGGTGTGTCAGTTCTCGCTGGGCTGTGGGCTGACCTGTGGCCTGAGCTTCCTACAGGAAGGCGCCCCACACCGCACCCTGAACCTGCTACTGAGCCTGGGGCTGGCCGCGCTGCTGGGCTTGGGTGCCCGGCGCTTCCGTCGACACGTCTATAACCTCTATGAGCTGCACACCAGCCAGCGCTACTGCGGGGTCTGCTTGGGCCTGCTGGCTGGCCAGCATGGCCTGCCCAGGCTCCTGGGTCGCATTCTGGCAGTGGCCTTTGCTGTGAGTAACCTGGCAGCTGTGGCCCTCATCAACCAGGACTTCCTGAGCACGTCAGAGGCCGTGCGCTTTTGGACGCCACTCACCATTTGCTATACGCTGCTGGTCATCTACATGCAGGGTGAGAGCCCCTGGGCTGGGGTCCATTCCGTTGGTCACACTCCCCTTGCTATCCCAGCCACCCTGTCCAGGGTGTACTTTACTATGGGTGTGCTGTAGGCTGCTCAAAGTAGTGTCGGGACATAGGAACTCTAAAGAGCTGGGACCTGGGCTGGTCTTGTGGTAAGATGAAGGGGGTTGTGGGCAGGAGAAATGCCTGCCAAAGCACAGAGCAAGGGCATGGCCATGCAGAAACACTGAGTGGTTCAGGGCTGTTATCCAAGGGCAACAGGGATTGGGGCAAGGCTGGCCAATTTCAAAATGGCCTGGTCCAGCTGGGCGGTGGTGGTGCACACTTTTAATCCCAGCACTCGAGAGGCAGAGGCAGGCAGATCTCATGAGTTTGAGGCCAGCCTGGTCTGCAAGAGCTAGTTCCAGGATAGGCTCTAAAGCTACAGAGAAACTGTCTTGAAAGAAAGAAAGAAAGAAAGAAAGAAAGAAAGAAAGAAAGAAAGAAAGAAAGAAAGAAAGAAAAGCCTGGTCCAGCTTGGCTGGCCAGGGTGCTAAACAGGAGAGAGTGGCCCGTCAGAGAAGGGTAGTCCAGGCAGTAGGAACAGAAAGTGTGAAGACCCTGACAGGGTAGATAAGCTTGTCAGACTCCATGTGCAAAATGAGAAGCCAGGATGCCTGACTCTGTAAGTAAGGGGAGCATGGGTCAGAGACTGGCTGAGGGTGGGTAAGTGGACTTGAGCAGAATCAAGCCTGACCTCGTAAAACAAGGCTTGGATTCAAACTCTACTCTAAAAGCCATCAGAAGCCCTGGGAGCATTCTCAGCAGAAGAATGGTGTCATCTGATTGACATGTGTAAGTCACTTTAGCGGGTCAGTAGAACTTGTTCAGGAACAGAAGAGCCCCATGGATGAACTTCAGCAGGAGGGGGAGGTGCCTGGAACCAGGGGGTGGGGAGTAAGAGAGTGGGGCGTGTGCCAGGCAGAAGTGGACCCGGCTGCGGGTAAACCAGACTTACGGGCAGAAGAGAAAAATCCTAGGTCCTTGCCATCAGCTGGCAAGGGGCTCTGTCCTCGACCAGAGAGAGACTTAAGGGTGGTCAATAAGTCTTGTGGGCGCCCAGAGAGGGGAGCTGGGACACAGAAGGGCAGTCGGGGAAGGTGATACTGTCCCTGGGGAAGGCGGTTGAGAAGTGGAACAGGCTGGCCCCAGCTGATACAGGGCGCTGTCTGAGGCAGTGGCAAATATATCTCGCAGAGGAGCAGCGGCAGCACCTCTTCAGCCTCCAGGGCCAGGTCCAGACGGTCCTGGTGCGCATGGGTGGCCTCTTCATTTTGTTGATGACTGTGGGCCGATGGCTGGACCTCCTTGGCGTCTTTGTCTCCCTTCTGGGTGAGCTGTGGTGCATGGCAGGTGTTCGCATCCTAATCGACCTCTGCCAGATACAGGTAGGCACCTCCATGTGACCCCAGCTTCCCACCCTGCTTCCAAGGCTCCCAGCACCTCCAGAGGCCCAAGTTTGACAAGGGCTGTGTTGACTGGGAGAGTATGAGACCCAGGTGTCTTTTAGGTCACTAGGAGTGGGGAAGTGGAAGGGACCATTCCAGCTGGCACCCCAGGGTCCCAGGGGGTAATAGGGTCCTGATGATAATGGACCTGGAGACTAACGGAGGGGTGTGTGTCCCTTCTGACCCTCCCCCAGGGCTTTCCATCCCAGAGGCCTACAGTAACAGCAGCAGTAACACCAGGAAAGGTATCAACAGTGTCAGATCCATGCGAGCCCCGGCCTTCCACACCTGCTCTGTCCAGAAGCGAGGCCCCCTCCTGATCTGCCCTATGGAGGACTCAAAGTCAGTCTCAGGCCTGTCTGTACAGGCTGACCAGCAAAGTCTTGACCACAAGATGTGGCCTGGAGACTGGGTGATAGAGCTAGTCCCCACCTAGAGTTCAGAGCAGGCCATGGGGGCCCCTGGAGAAAGGGGACGGCTAGGGCTGGGGACCTGGGAAGGTGGGGACGTGGAGGCCTCTGCGTAAATCCCTCTCCATTGAAGATGGGCAGTGGATACAGTTTCATCAGACCCACCCTTCCTGGCCAGGCAGGAGGACAGCTGACAACTGTGACCTCAGAATGGCTCCCTGCCCGCTTGCTGCCCCTCCCCCACCTTGCTCCTTTCCACAAACAATAAAGTTGACTTTTCTCAGCTTGTATTGAGGATTACAGAGATGTAGAAAGAAAAAAGAGACTTCCCGAGACCCACAAAAAACCCTCTTTTGGCAGGCTTTTGGGATTTGAGCCTCAAGCCTGCTTCTGCCTTGGGTCTCCTGGGGGCCAAGGACACAGATTGAGGTTCCCCGGTTCCAGGACGAAGAATTGCAGCAGGAACACATGGTTATCAAGATGGTTGGGAGCTGGAGATGGCTCAGGGTTAAGAGCGGGTAGTGCTCTTACTCCCTGGATCCTGTTTCAGACAGCTCACGACTGTCTGGAAGAGGTCCTGCGGGGTGTGATGCCTCTGGCTTCCTTAGGCACTTAGACACACACACACACACACACAAAGAATTTAAAATGAAAAGACATTGAGACAGTTTGCTAAGAAAGGGGAAACACAGCCAAATGATAGTGACTGGGCACACCTTTTGTACTCAGGCAGATCTCTGTGAGTTCGAGGCCAGCCTGGTCTACAGAGCGAGTTCCAGGACAGTCAGGGCTACACATGTTGGGTAATATTTTTGTACACTGTGAGGATGTGTCCCTGCCAAGGCACCTTCTGATTGGTTTAATAAAGAGCTGAATGGCCAATAGCTAGGCAGGAGAGGATAGGCGGGACTTCCGGGGGGGGGGGGGNGGGGGGGGGGGAGAGAGAGAGAGAGAGAGAGAGAGAGAGAGAGAGAGAGAGCGCGCGAGCGCAGACAGGAAACACAGGGATTAGGTGCCATCCTTGCTGAGGTGGCCAATGAGGTGAGGTGGGGTGGTAGAGTCTAATACCTACCTGCACCTAAGATGTACTGCATAGTGGTCTGTCCCATCCAGGGTGGAGCTGCTCTTGGGGCTCCAGCTTCCCTTGGGGCTCCAGCTTCCCTTGGGGCTCCAGCTTCCCATCCTGGCTTGTCAAGGTAATGAGGACGGTTTCCGTCTCAGCCCTGTTCAGGACCAAGATCTGGGACAGAAAGGGCTGGGTACTCACTCTTCTGCCTACCTTCTGTGTGACTACGTGCAAGCAAGCTATTGTCCCCTCTCTGAGCCCAGCTAAAGAACTAGTGCCTGGGGCAGCGGGTGCTAATCCCAACATTCAAGAGGCAGAGGCAGGTGGATCTCTGTGAGCTTGAGGCCAGCCTGGTCTACAGAGGGAGTTCCAGGACAGCCAGAGCTGTTACATGGAGAAATCCTCAAAAAAAAAAAAAAATCCTCAGAAACAAAACTAAATAAAGCAAAACAAGCATAGGGGCTGGAGAGATGACTCAGAGGTTAAGAGTACTGGGTGCTCTTCTAGAGGTCCTGAGTTCAATTCCCAGCAACCACATGATGGCTCACAACCATCTGTAATGAGATCTGGTGCCCTCTTCAGGCAGAACACTATTCATAATAAATAAATAGTTTTAAAAAATCATAAAACCATTAAACATTAACACCATATGTTGGGTGTTCACACTCAGAATCCTATTTACTAACCTATTTTGACCCTCTTTCTCCCCCTTCTTTCTTTTTCTGATGCCCTGCTTTGTTTTTGACACAGGGTCCCACTATGACTGGTCTGAAACTCACTCTGTAGACCAGGCTGACCTCAAATTCACAGAGATCTGCCTGCCTCTACCCCCTAAGTACTAGAATCAAAGGTCTGTGCCACCACGTCCAGGTGTCTGATGTTTTTCTTAATGATCTGGATATGTAGCCCAGGCTGGCCTTGAACTCAGGGACTCCTCTTCTCTCAACCTCCCAATCCCTGGGATTATAGGTAGGTAATACTATACCCTGATCCTGGAGGTTAAGTCCTTTTTTGAGGACACACAGAATTTGTATTTGCATGTGTGAGGGGGGGAGTGTTGGCACGTGTATATTCTAGAGTCCTCAGAAGCCAGAAGAGAAAGTCAGATGGAAGAGGGAGTCAGATCTGGAGCAGGAGTTACCAGCATTTGTGAGCTGCTTCACACGGATGCTGGGAACCAAACCGCAGTCCCCAGCAAAAGCAGCAAGTACTCTGGACCAATGAGGCTTCCTTCCAGCTTGGGCAGGGTTTGAACTCTGGCACCCTGCACCCCATCCTTTCCCACCCCAGAGCTCATGTTTTGCATGATCCTTGCTCCCTTGTCTGGCTGAAGGTTAGGTCCCGGGGACTAACAGGGCTGCGTGTGAGAAGTTGGCAGATCCACCCAGGTGGCTCTGGAATGTGGGTCTGGTCACCTTATGTCTCAGGCAGACAGACACCCATCAGGCCTGTTCTCGGCCAGAAACCCAGCAGTTTGGTTCTGTGGGGATTTCACTAGAGGAGACCTACAGGGCAGAGGTGCCCAATCTGCTAAGAGGTGTTGTGGAATATTAGTGGAAGGTGTGTTGCATTTGCTTATGTTGTAGAACAGTTGTTTAATGATGCAAAGATGTGTTGCATTCTTTTATACTGCATCTTTTAAACTCCGTGAAGCTGTGTTAATTTGCTTGTCTAAAACACCTGACTGGTCTAATAAAGAGCTGAACAGCCAATAGCAAGGCAGGAGAAAGGATAGGCAGGGCTGCCAGGCAGAGAGTATAATTAGGAGGAGAAATCTGGAAGAAAAGGATGAAGAAGCAAGAAAAGAAGGGGCCAGCAACACAGCCAGACACAGAATAAGAAGGAAAGAAAAGATATACAGGAATAGCAAAAGGTAAAATCCCGGAGGCAAAAGATAGATGGGATAATTTAAGTTAAGAAAAACTGACAAGAAAGAAGCTAAGATGGGCATTCATAAGAAAGAATAAACCTTCGTGTATTTATTTGGGAGCTGGGTGATTGGCCCACAAAGAGTAAGAGCCAAAAGAGGAAAACAAAAACAAAAACAAAGCAAACAAAAAACAACCTACTACAAAGAGGCCTCTTGGACGAGAGAGCCGGCCTGGCCTGCGTGGGAGTGACAGGGAGGAGGTGAGGCCTGGAGAACTCTTTGAGGACCCCAGATCCTGTTGAGGTCCTTCCTCTCTCTAAATACCACCACAGGCTGAGTGCAATGAGGATGTAATTTGCTTGGAGGGCTTGCAGGAAGCCCTGGGTTCAATCCCCAGCACTGCATAAAGCAGGCACGACCGTGTGTACATCTGCAGCCCCAGTTCTTGTGAAGTGGAGCTCAGGTTATCTCCTGCTACACACCAACTTTGTGACCAGCCTGGGCTACAAGAGCCCCTGCCTCAAACACCAAAACAGAAAGACCGTGACCACCTAGAAATTGTTGGCCTCTGGTTCTCCCCTCTCTACTCAAGGCAGACCTGCAACCCCGGGCAGGTGCAGCCCAAGGCTAGCCTGGTGGTGCTGGGCAGTGGAAGTCCTGCTCAGAACAATACCCGTGCCCCTGCTGTGTGAATTGGCTTCAGTCCCTCAACTTGCCCTGTCTGAAGGAAACGACTCATCTGGTGGGCGAAAGGCCAGCATCCGCCAGACCCAGACTGGCTCTGGGTTCCGACAGAAGCCGCTGTTTGTGCTGGAAGGCATTCCAGTCTCAGCCCACAGCCTGGCTGGGAATCCACTGGCAGCATCTGGGAGAGAACAGGACTCGGCTGTCCTTTCCTTTTTATGGGCACGGGGACCATTGTCCAAACCAAAATTGGAACGTGTGGGCTGGGAAAGATTTCTTATCTTATCAAATTATTTTTCTGAATATTATTTTGTGTCTGGCAAGAGTATAAAAGTTTGGTCACTCAGGCTTGAGACTGTAGCTCAGTAGTATAGTTCTTGCCTCTAATGTGTGTTCACACCCCCCCCCCCCAGAATAGAAAGAGCTGCGGATGTGACTACGTTGATAGACTTTGCTTCCCACACAGCATGCCCTGGGTTCAATTCCCAGCCCTGTGTAAGCTAGGCGTGGGTTTGCACGCATATCATCTCGGCCTTTGGGAGAAGGAGGCAGGGTCAGAACTTCAAGGTCATTCTCTAGGTACATAGTGAGTTTAGTAAGTTCAAAGTCAGACTGGGGTGGATGCATGAGACCCTGTCTCAAAGAGGAAAAGATATACAGGAATAAAGAAAGGTAAAAGCCCAGAAGCAAAAGGTAGACAAGACAATTTGTTAAGAAAAGCCAAGCTAAGGCCGAGCATTTATAAGAAAAAATAAGCCTCTGTGTATTTATTTGGGAGCGGGGGGGGGGGGGGGGGGGGGGGGAAAAAAAAAAAAGAGAGAAAAAAAAAAAAAAAAAAAAAGAAAGAAAGAAAGGAAGGAAGGAAGAGAAAGAAAGAAAGATTAATGGGGTTGGAGAAATTGTCCTTGGTTAGAACTCTTCCAGAGGACCTGGGTTCAATTCCTAGCACCCACCCACATGGTAGCTCCAGTTCCAGAGGCTAGAACACCTTCTCTGGCTTCCATGGACATCCGGTACACACAGAGATAGATGTGGGCAAAACACCCCTATACATGAACATGTAATAAGTGAAAGTGGGCATGGACATGCCTGCTCGTACTGCCAGCCCTCAGGTGCTGCAGGGCAGAGGCACCTGGAGATTGGCATGAGTTTGAAGGTGGCCTGGGCTATACGCTGAGTCCCAGCCAGTTTGGAAATGAGATCTGCCTCATTGATGGGGCTCTGGGGTCCTCCTTTACGGAACCTCTTGTGGAAAAGCAACCAGGAAAGCTGGGCGGTGGTGGCCACACCCTTAATCCCAGTACTTAGGAGGCAGAGGGTGGATCTCTCAAGGCCACCTTGGTGTCACTTTGGTCTACATAGCTGTTTCAGGATAGCAAAGTTACATAGACCTTGTCAAAAAAAAAAAAGAAAGAAAGAGAAAGAAAGGAAGAAAGAAAGAAACTAAAAACTAAGTGGAACTTAAAGGAAGGAAGGAAGGGAGGGAGGAAACGGAGCCATAATCTGAGGGAAGCAGACTGGAAGACGGAGGATTTCACACAGGCTATGGCGGATGCAGAGACAGGACAGTTGCTGGTCAGTGCAGGTAGCCTGTGCCTAGGGCCAAGCTGCCACAGGGACTAGCCAGACAGGGACTAGAGATGGGACAGAGGTCTAGAGGACAAGGAGGAGCACCCTCCCCTAGTTTGGCTCTTTCTGCCTGCTCCACTCTCCTTCCAGTCCCTGGTGACCTTTACTCCAGATCCCAGGGTCCAGGCCCGCCTCGCCTGCAGCAGCTGGGATTGGCCCGAGCCAGAGCGGGTGTGGCCAGACTCCCACAGCCCCAGTCTGCTGAACAACAGGTGGAGTTCCAAGACAGACCATGGGCCTCCAGTCACCGACCAGATCTGTCCTCTAGAGATGGCACGGGGCCCCCTCGGTCCCCAGGCCTGCGGCCACACGTGGGTGCAAACAGCCTAGACACGGCCGCCTATGGCCTGTGCTGTGGCTGATCCAGGCAGAGATGGCTCCTGCCACGGATGCAGGGGATATGGTGACCCCAACTGTGGACCTGGTGCTGGGTGCCTCAGCCTGCTGCCTGGCATGCCTGTTCACCAATCCCTTGGAAGTGGTAAAGACTCGTCTGCAGCTGCAAGGGGAGCTGCAGGCCCCAGGCACTTACCCACGGCCCTACCGGGGCCTTGTGTCTTCTGCTGCAGCCATTGCCCGTGCAGATGGTCTGTGGGGCCTGCAGAAGGGGCTGGCCGCTGGCCTTCTCTACCAGAGCCTCATGAATGGTGTCCGCTTCTACTGCTATAGCCTGGCATGCCAGGCTGGCTTCACCCAGCAACCAGGGGGGACTGTGGTTGCAGGTGCTGTGGCCGGGGCACTGGGAGCCTTTGTGGGAAGTCCTGCTTACCTGGTGAGTGTCTCCTCTGTGGCCCTGGGTTGGGCGGGGAAGGCTGGGAGGGGACTGTTTCCTGGGAATATCAGGCTCAGATCTGGAATCTGCCCTCGCTCAGACAACCCTTGCTCTTTTGGGGCCCATGCCCACTTGTCTTAACCAGGAGACAGAGCAGGCTCTGCAGTAGGTAGACCCTAGTCGTCATTTGCTTGTGATTAGTTCTCATAGCCTGGCATATGGTAGGAATAAAAGCTTCCGCTGAGCGCGAGTTGTTGCATCCTGATCTGGCCACTGAAGTCCTCTGTCCTTGAGACAGTGGTAGGACAGAGGCCCAAAGAGCTACTTAAGAAACTTGAAGCCAGCCGGGCGGTGGTGGCGCACGCCTTTAATCCCAGCACTCGGGAGGCAGAGGCAGGCGGATCTCTGTGAGTTCGAGACCAGCCTGGTCTACAAGAGCTAGTTCCAGGACAGGCTCCAAAACCACAGAGAAACCCTGTCTCGAAAAACCAAAAAAAGAAAAAAAAGAAAAAAAAAAAAAACAAAGTGCTGGGATTCTAGGCATGTGCCACCATGCTTGTTTTTGTTTAATACAGGATCTTACTTTATGATTCAGACTGACTGGGATCTCAACAATGTAACTATGCAGGACCTCCCAAGTACTGGGATTACACACATGTGCTACTTACCATACCTGACTCAGAAATGTAATTTTAACTAGTTTGTGAGGAAAGTAAGATTTAAAAAAAAAAATTCATTGAGAATCTGGGGGTGTGGTTCAGCAGCAGAATCCTTGCTTTTGGTGTGTTCTTGGCTCTGGATTCAGTGCCCAGGGAAGGGATCAGAAGTTCAAGGTAATCTTTAGCTACAAAGTAAGCTGGAGGCCATTTTGGGATACTTGAGACCCTGCCTCAGATCAGCAATAAAAAAGAATGGATTGGGTCTAGCCCTCCTAATATGGGTCTCAGGTGTGGCTAGATCCAGCTTAAGTGATGACATCAGTTACCTGTCAACCTCGTTTTGCTCTGCTACCCTCTGCATTGGTCCAGGAGGTTAAGAGTGCGTAGGGTCTTTTATCCTGCCTGTCAACAAACCCTCCAGGAAGATACTGCCTATTTCCAGGTCGTTCCAGCCACAGGCCAGGAGTAGTTCGGGTACTCATTTTGGATTAAACCATGATTGGCTAAACCTGGGCCATGTGCATATAACCATGGGAGTTGCAGCAATTCTACTGGTTTGCCAGTCTCTGAGAGTAAAAGGAGGGTCACCGCAGAAGAACGCAGGTGTCCCACCTACATTAGGGAAGGCAAAGTTGGGCTAACTGCCAGCGTCTCCTATGATCCCACACGCCAACCTTAGCACTTATTTCTCAGGACAGTATTCCCCAAATTTCTGGCCTGTACATGCGTGGGTCCCAGCTGAATGCTTCCTAGGTCCCAGGCACCTTTGTCTTACTTAGTTCGGTTCCTATGACTGTGATGATTCACCATGGCCAAAAGCAAGCTGGGGAGGAAAGGGTTTATTCACAGTCCTTGACTGAAGGAAGCCAGGGTAGGAACCCAAGCAGGGTAGGAACCTGGAGGCAGGAGCTGATGCAGAGGCCATCGAGGGGTCCTGCTTACTGGCTTTCTCCCCATGGCTTGCTCAGCCTGCTTTCTTACAGAACCCAGGACCATCAGCCTAGGGGTGTGGCACCACCATGGGCTGGGCCTTCCCTCATCAATCACTAATTAAGAAAATGCTCTACAGGTTTGAGTATAAGCTATTTTTTTTCTCTTTAGGTTTATTATATATACACTGTTCTGTGTATGCATTATGTATACAGTGTTCTGCCCGCATGATTGCCTGCCAGAAGAGGGCACCAGATCTCATTACAAATGGGTGGAGCCATTGTGTGGTTGCTGGGAATTGAACTCAGGACCTTCAGAAGAACAGTCAGTGCTCTTAACCACTGCACCATCTCTCCAGCCCATGTACAGCCCAATCTTATGGAGGCATTTTCTTACTTGAGGTCCCCTCCTATCAGATGAGTTTGATTTGTGTTAAGTTGATATAAAGCTAGCTAGTACAAGCCAGGTATTTAACCCCAGCACTCTGGAGGCAGAGGTAGGAGGATCTCTGTCAGTTCAAGCCCAGCCTGGTCTACAAAGAGAGATCCAGGAAAACCAGGGCTATGCAGAGAAACCCTGTCTCAGAAAACTCCACCGCACAGTCCTTACAGTTTCCCCATCACTTACAAGAAGGCCACAGACGTGGGTTGCAGAGAGGAAGGTGGGGTCTAGAGAAGCCATTTGCCCAAGGTCACAGCTTTCCAGGGTCACTCACATCCCTGCCGCCATCTGGGACCCCTCCAGGCCTCACCTACTGCAGCCCCAGCCGTGCCCATCAGGGCCCTTGTGAGGCTGTGTTCAGGAAATCCAGGCTCCTTCAGCTTCTGTCCAAGCAGATAAGCTGGAAGATGGGGGAAGTGGTTGGGGAGACCAGGGTCCTCCTGGGACTATTTGCCAAGGCTAGACCCCCACACTTAATACAGATATACATATAGACAGCACCAACCTGAGGCTGGGCAGTTGGTTCTGATTTGGTCCAACAAGGTCACCAAGGAGAGGCAGCTGAAGGGACATTTCCTTCCAGAGGTCCCTGGCCCAGGGTGCATGCCCTCAGGGAGCCTGGAAGCAATGTGGCCATGTTCCCGGAGAGGAGGATACTTCTTGTCCTCCAAACAGTTGGTCCCTGTTCTTGAATCTTGCTGGACTGTAATTGCCCTGGGCAAAATATTCCAGAAAGTAGGTGAGAACAATGCCGGGACCCCCAGACCTTCTATAGGAGGGTGCAGATGGTAGAGCCAATCCTCGGTGTGCCCTTTTGGTGACTGTGGCTCTGACATTCCACTAAGGGAAGTCTGTCCCTTTCCTGTGGCGTGTGGCAGCAGACACCTTTAACCCCAGCACACAGGAGGCAGAGGCAAGTGGATCTCTCTGAGTTCGAAGCCGGCCTGGGTTCAGTCCAGCCAAGGCAACATAGGGAAACCCTAGACCCTGTCCAAAATGGGCAAAATGGGGGGGTGCTTGTTCAAGGTCAGCTAACACCAGACTATTAAGAGTTTGTTTTCCCTATGTCTCTGTAGTCCCTCGTCCCAGCTTGACGGAGACCTCAGAGAGGCCTTCCCATCTCCCACCTCTCGGTCTCCTTCCCTTGACCTTGTACCTTAGCACACCCCACTACTGATAACTGTTGTGTTTATGACTTCACCCTCACACCTCTTTGAGTCTGCTCCTTCCTGTTGCACCCCATTGATAATCTCCCCTTCTAAGGACAAGGATTAATAGCTAGGCTTGATTCCTATTGGCTCCTGACTCTCCCTATCCTTTGGCTAGTGCCCAGCCCATGTTTATGGACCCTCAATCCCACCACTGTGGATGGCAAGTGAGCTATACTTCCCATCAGACTAGCCCAAAGAGCAGCAAACTGTCACCCGCTGCCTGGATCTCGTCTCTAAGCCCTTCTCCTTCTGCCCCGCAACCTCAGCTGTCATGGTCCTAGTAGAAGATTGTGTCCCCTTGCCTGCTGGAACTTCTGAGGAGGGAAGAGAGCTGAGCCTGGCAGGGAGGGAGGAGGGGAGCAGAGCCTATGAGCTGGCAGGCAGAGGGCGTGTGTTCCTTGGCCAGCACACTTCCTGGGTTTCCATTGCAGGAAGTTTGGCACCTGCCTATCGGTGCCACTGATACCCAGGCTGGTGCAGGCGACTTTTAGCCAGGACAACCCCCCGACTGGGGAGCAGCAGCAGGAGGTGGAACAGAGGCCAGGGGTGCAGGACAGCCGGTGAGTGGCAGCAGCTTAACGGGGCCCCATACTACATCAGGCCCCAAGTTAGTGCCTCATTGTCCCACTGGATGGAACAGTGGGGTAGCCGGGTAGACTGGGGAATAGGGTGGAAGTACAGAGAACAGGCTGGATCCATTCTGGCTTACAAGAGTTCTGAGGTTCTGCAGCTAGAAGTGCCTGAACCCCCTGCATGGCACCATGGCTGTGTCTGACTCCTTTTCCAGTAGAGGCTGTAAGAACCTTCACACCTGTCGCAGAGGCCCCGTTGCCAGGTTGGGAACATACCCAAGGGGCCCTTGGGCACAGATAGCCTCAGTGTAGTACCAGGCTCCATCCTTGGCTCTTATCTGGGGACGGTGGCAGCAATCCAGCGTCCGGGACTAGCAGATTCATGCGCCTGAGGGGCACCCTCTTGTCTGGCTTGAATCCAGCCTTGCCCCTTGCCCCTTGCCTGTTGCACAACCCTTGATCCTCTCCAGCTTCAGGGTCTGGTGTGCAGGGTGGGATCTTTCAGTCCTGGAGAAGAATCTGGAAGGGTTAAATAAAAGGTTTGAAAGGGCCACGAGGGACGCCTCTGGAAACAGCAGCTACTGTGGTGATTGTCTTTGTTACTCCACACTGGCTGCAAGAGCCAAATGGAGAACGCTGGTGACAACGGGGGGGGGGGGTTGTTAAAGGGGAACATGGGGGGGGGCTTAGTGGGGAAGAGGAGGAGGATGGAGCTGAGCACCCGGTACCTCACTCTGACCTCTTGGTGTCATGGTCCCTTCAGCATCAATCCCAGGACCACTTTGAGGAGTGGTTGGCTGTGGGCTGCAGAAGGGGACCCAGTCCTGCCTGGCTACCCCCAGATGACTCTGGGGCCAGCTCTTCCCTGCCCCCCTCCCCATTGTGGCTTTAATCAAAAGAACAATCTGCTTGCCTGGGAATCAGACCCAGATTCCTGTCCCCAGCAAGGTCCCGACGTCTCCTGGGACCTGCACAGCCCAGCCCCAACCCAGGCCCAGGCCTCAGGGCTCTGCTTCTTCAGGGGCCAGTAACAGGGCCAGGAAGCCAACAGGTGACTTGATTGTCTCCCGCCCTGGTCTCCTGCTGGGGCCTCCTCCCACTGTAGGACCCGAGACCCACTTGTAGACGGATTAACAGGTCCAGGCAGGCAGTGACAGCCCAGGATAGCAGACCCAGGTGACTTGCCTCACTGGGGTCTCTGGGGACCCCTATCCCAGGATTCCTTGAAAAAGCCCCATGACCCCAGCCTGTGTTAGCTCCTGATTCTCTTAGCATGATCGCTTTAACTCCTGGCCAAGTTGCAGAGGTGGTCAATGGGAACCCTCTTTCAGGGATTAAAGAACCTGAGGTTTAGGGAGATAAAGTAACGGCCCCGGGTCCTGCGTCTAGCCTCACTCAGGACCCTGAAGGACCTCAGAGCCTAACTGGGTGTAAGTACCCCTCCACACCAGATGGGGCAGGTGGGGCCCGCCCATCCAGGTGACCTAGGGGGAAGGTGGCTAAGGAACCCCCCGGGTGCACGGTAGGGGTGGGCAACGAAGGAGGAGGAGCCACAGGAAGTGGGGAGAGGAGTGGCGGGAACAAAAGGAGGGGGCGCGGCCGCAGGTAGGCCGAGCCCGCGCCCCCTCCCCGAGCGTCACCTTTTATGGTAAGGCGCGCGGGGCGGCGGGGCGGAGGGAGGCCGGGGCGGGAGCGAGGGGCGGAGGCGCATCGCCGGCGGAGGCCGGGGCGTGGGGCGCGCAGCAGGTAAGCGGGTGCGGCGTGGGGGGTCCCAGCCGTGCGCCCCGAGTACGGTCACCCGCAAGTGGCCCCACGGGCAAATCTCGGCCACCGCGGTGGACCCCGCCTGGCGCTGCTGGGGGGCTCGGGGCGGGTACTATCCCTGAGTTCTCTTGTTCCCGTGTGTCCCAGGATCTGAACCTTTGGGAACCCCGGGAGGTTGAGTGCTGCGGGCGGGGACGGTGCGGTTGTGTCTTGTCCCTGCTCTGAAGTGGGACGGGGCGAGCAGGGCGGAAGCTCCTGCACAAAGAGGACAGCGTTCCGCACATGGATTGAATTATAATTGCCGCAGTGACCCGGCCAGCTGCTCCGCTCCGCTGCTGTTCCAGGGCGCGGGAGGTTCCCAAGCTCCCATGGCCCTGGAGCCCTGTTGTCAGCTCTAGTCAGGAGAGGGGAAGAAGGGTTCTGGGGTCTCCTCGCCCGGCCTGGCAGGGTGTGGGAATGGGTGATCCTCAAGGTGTGTGCAGCTACTCCCCCCTCTCTAGCCCAAACCTGAGGTCCCAGAGGAGAGGCTGGGCAGCGCCCAGATTCCTGCTCTCAACAATGGAGACCACTGTCCTCCAGCCCCAGGGCTCCGCCTGTCCTCTGGGACTGAATGACCAGCTGGTGTCCTCGCCGTCACCCTCCAGGGCAAATGTCTGTTCACTGGATGACTAAAAAACCAGGCCCAGAGAGGTTGGGTGACTGTATCAAAGTCACCCAGTGCGAGCCACGGTGGGGGAGAACCCAGCTCTGTGCCTCTTCCTTCTCTGGAGTGGGAAAGAGGATGAGAGACACCCCCCAACCGTTTTGAGACTGCAAGGTGTCTTGTGGAAGTGAGCGGGAATGTACACTTTCTCCCTCATCCAGCAAAGTTTAATTCTGGCCCCAAACTCAGACTGCTTTGTGGGGCTGTGTGAAAGAGCGATGCTAAGTGACTCCGAGGTGGCTTTAGAACGAGGGGACTGTTCCAAGCAGCCAGCACATCCCCACCCAGGGGTTGTAGCCTACCTAGAGCCGACCCTGGCTGGCTGGCTGGCTGACTGGCCGGCTCTCAATCTCCTTCCTTCCTCTTGACAGGAAATGACTTTCCTTCCCTTTGTTCCCACTTTCTCCGCTTACCCAACTGGATCTGAGTGTCTGATTTGCCCTCCGGGGGAGGAAGGATGGGGGTGGAGGGTCGGCTGGAAAGTTGTCATACAGCGCCTTCCCCCACTCCAGGGTGAACTCAGGGCCAGCGGGACCAGAGGGAAGCGCCAGCAGGCTCTCCTGACAGGGTTTTGAAAAATCCCCGGTCCGAGATCCCCAGGGCTGCTTGACAACGATAGGGGTGGGTATGGCTGCCCAGCTGTGAACATCTGGCCTCCATGCTGGATGCTTTAGAAAAAACAGGCGGAATGGAGTGTGTGTGTGGGGGGGGACCAGAGAGGGGAAGGTAGGGGGGTTCCTGAAGAGTCACACAGCCTGCCCCAGGGGACCCGCCTAGAATGTGTTGACCGCAAGAAGCTGGTCTGGATTGGGTCATTTGGGGGAAGGGGAGTGGCTTGGGGTGGGGGAGGAGGCTTGTATGGTCCAGGGAAGAAAAAGTCCAGGGATGCCCGTGGACTTCCAGGTTGCACCGGTCTCCGATAGGCTTGAGAGCCACGGAAACGCACTTGAATTCTTGGTGGGACCTTGTGATAGAGCCTCCCTACCACCGAGGTTTGAGGTCTGAGCTCTTGGATTTATAAATGCTACTGTTAGGGTTTCTCTTCCGATTCTGAAGACCGCTAAAAAGTAAATTCTATTAATGGGGCCTGGGGTTGAGACAGGTCTCAATATGAACTCATGGAAATCCTCCTGCCTCAGCCTCCTGAGTGCTGAGATGACAGGTTTGTATTATATCATGACAGGCTTCAAAGTATTTTTCAAAGGATCTTTCTATGTAGCCCTGGCTATCTTGGAACTCACTATGTAGACCAGGCTGGCCTCATACTCACAGAGATCCACCTGTCTCTGCCTCTTGAGTGCTGGGATTGAAAGTGTGTGCTATCCTACTTGGTGCCCCCAGAGATATTTTAGGGGCATTTTTCTCAGTCTCCCATGAGAGAGTCCATGGGTACTGATGTACCTTGAGAATCATAGGGAGGCCGGGTGGTGGTGGCGCTCGCCTTTAATCCCAGCACTCGGGAGGCAGAGGCAGGTGGGTCTCTGTGAGTATGAGGCCAGCCTGGCCTACAAGAGCTAGTTCCAGGACAGCTAGGACTGTTACACAGAGAAACCCTGTTTGGAAAACAAAATGGGGGAAAGAAAGAAAGAAAGAAAGAAAGAAAGAAAGAAAGAAAGGAGAATCAGGGAAATCTGTGAGTGACTGTGTGGGATCCACATCTGCCCCACGTCTGCCCTCAGGGTCTCTTGGGGCTGTCACCCCTCCCGCACACTGTCCAGCTCCATTGCTAACTAAATTCCTCTTCAAGCGTCTGTGACCGGGCTTCGGTCCTATCATGGTGGCCCACACAGAAAGAAGAAGGGAGATAAAGGACACATTTTTAGCCATGGGAACTATGGTTGGGTGCCAGGGAGGACTTCTGTGGCCAGTTCACCCGCAGTGACCCACCTAGACCTGGGCCCCAGAGGCTGCTGTCTTCAGGGACCGCCTGGCCCTCACAAGATGAAGGGGCCTCGCCTGCCGGGGTCTCTGCTTCCACACCCGCTCTGTGAACTTCTTTCCGGCTCTTGATACAGACAACTGAAGGCAGACAAGGTTACCTGAGGGGATCAGACACTTGGATAATGAGACAGCTGTCTTCCCCGGGGAAGCCACAGATCACCCCAGGGTGGGAGTCAGGGAGGCTTTCGTGGAAGAGGAGGTGAAGTTTGACCTGGGTCTCAAAGAGCTGAAATTAACTCTGTGGAAACTGGAAAGGGAAAAGTTGATTGGGTCCTCCAACAGAGAAAGATAGTCTTGGGGGAGAAAAGACTAAGGTGTTTAAAAATAACTTGAGGGGCCAGGCGCAGCGGTACATGCCTTTAATCTCAGAGGTAGGTAGATCTCTGAGTTTGAGCCCAGCCTGGTCTACAAAGAGAGTTCCAGGACAGCCAGGCTTACACGGAGAAACCCTGTCTTGAAAAAACAAAAATAGCCGGGCATGGTGGTGCACGCCTTTAATCCCAGCACTTGGGAGTCAGAGGCAGGAGAATCTCTGTGAATTCTAGACCAGCCTGGTCTACAGAGCGAGTTCTAGGACAGCCAGGGCTATACAGAGAAACCCTGCCTTGAACAACTTTTAAAGAGAGCCAGGCGGTGGTGGTGCACACCTTTAATCCCAGCACTCAGGAGGCAGAGGCAGGTGGATCTCTGAGTTTGAGGCCAGCTTGGTCTACAAGAGCTAGATCCAGGACAGGTTCCAAAAGCTACAGAGAAACCCTGTCTCGAATCCCCCCCCCCCAGAAAAAAAGAGAGAGAGAGAAGAGAGAGAATCAGATTTATGCTTAGGGAAGATTAGGGATGAGAGAGAGAGAGAGAGAGAGAGAGAGAGAGAGAGAGAGAGGTGCTGGTTTGAGTCTGGGTGGAGAGGGCAGAAGAGACCCGAGTGATCAAGTATGTGGCTCTGGGCTGAAATGCCAGCTCTGGTGCTGTGTGACCCTGGACAGGGGACTTGACGTCTCTGGAGTCTCTGTTTTCTCACCCATGGGTGAGATTGGGTGATAACAGGGTTGCTGGGGGCTCAAGGCAGCATGGGAACAGAGTGGGGCCTGACTTTTGTTCACCCGACGCTCTTCTGTTTCTGCTTCCTTCCAGTGGGGAGCTGGCCTGAACCTTGGACCTTGTCTTCAACAGAATCGGTGTCTCAGGTGAGGGAGGGGCTGGCTGTTGGCAGGTATCAGAGCCTGTGTCTGTCAGCTGCCTGGGTTGGGCTCCTGGAGAAGGTGGCCAGGGAAGGTGATCTCTGAGTTGCTGCAGGGCTGTCCATAGGCCACTGGGAGGGCCTTCAGGGTTTGTAGGCCCCATGATCTGGCCATCTGGTGGCCACCTGGCCCCTCTGAAGGTTGTCCCTTGCCCCTCCCACCTTCCTCCCTTCCTCCCTTCTCACTGCCTGACCCAGACCAGCCTAGAACTCACCATTCTCCTGCCTCAGCCCTGTCTCCAGTAGAGTTGGGTGTACCGGTGGGTACGGTACAGAGAGAAAGGAGCCTCTGGGCCGGTGGGATACCCTGTCAACCTCAACCCCTGTGCCTCCAGCCCCGGCAGGAGGTGCTCGCTGATCATGGCCTCCAAGCCCGAGAAGAGAGTGGCCTCTTCTGTTTTTATCACCCTGGCACCCCCACGCCGTGACGTGGCTGTGACTGAGGAAGTGGGCCAGGCAGCTTGTGAAGCCCGACACGCCCGGCCCTGGGAGACCCTCGCTCCCACGAAGACCCCTGGGACTGGCTTGAGCAGGAACCCCAACACCTGGACACCCTCTGGCAGGACCACTGCCTCGCTCCCCGCAGCCCCACCCCAGCTCTCCAATGGAGGTAAGAGTGGCCCGAAGGGGACCAGGACAGAGACAGAACCAAGGCAGGGAGGAAAGAACAAGCTCGGGTTACTCATTCATTCAGGTGTTTACTGTGTCCGGGGCCTACTATGGAACCCACCTGCCTACACCTGAGTCCTGGCTCCTCTCAGCTCTGTGATGTTGAAGGTCACTTAACCTCTCTGTGCCTCAATGTCAAAAACTTCAAAGTATAGTTGTGAGGATTAAGAACATTAATGCAGGATCAGCAAGACGGCTCAAGAGGTAAACGTGCTCACTGGACAAACCTAAGGACCCGAGTTCAATCCCCAGAACCTATGCAAAGGTGGAAACATAGATCAACTCCTGCAGGTTGTCTTCTGACCTCCACGTGTACACACACATACACACACACAAATGCCGCGGACCGTCCCTGCCGCGGACCGTCCCTCTTGGAGACCGCTATCCACGGGAGAACAGGGTGAAGGATAGGATAGCCAGGATACGACGCAAGGGAATGACAGACAGACACACTGGTAGTGAAAATCTGCTGCAATTTTACTTCTGCAAAGCTTCAGTTTATGTACAAAACAGATCAAAGAACTTGGCAGGCTCACTGCATCACCCCATTCAGGGTTCCAGACATAAATCAAGGCTAAGCATAATCAAAATAGAACTCCTTCTACGTGCTCAAGGTGTTGGCAAGGACTTTTAGTTTTGTCTCTTAGAATTCTGTCTCACACCACTAACCATATTCTACCGTGGGGGACTAGTTCTCAGAGTCCTGGGTCTAGCTTTTGTCTATATAGTCTTTTATTCTTCTGTTTTATTATTAATAAAGTTTCCAAGGCTCATGTGGCGTGGGGCATGCTTCAGTTCCTCAAGGACTGCTTAAAGAACGGTGGGGCCGAGCCAAGGACATACTTTGATTTCTTGGTGAGCGGTCAGCTGAAAACAGGAAAGATAAGAAATACAGAGAAAGATCATGCAGGGTGCCAGGAGGGCTCGCTCTCAAGGCCATTTCCAGATACGAGATCTGCCTAAGGCATCAGGTCCTATCTTGACCACTGATTGCCAGGGGACCACCTGGGGCTTCGCTCCAGGAAGCTCTAACCCCAATCCTTCAGCAGGCGAAAGCCAGCGCAGAGGCATTTTGTCACTACACGGCAGTCACTGCTGTGGACGTGGCAGGTCTCCCTTTTTTATTTTTAAAATGAAGCTCGAACACCTCCTGTTTCACTGCCTGTAATGAAGAAAATAAGCACTTTAAGAGACAGGGGAATAAAAAGATGACCAATACTATCAAGAGTATAATTACTCCAATGAATACAAAGTACTGCACCCAATCTAAGGGATTAAGGCTCTTAAGTCCACGTTCCAATTGCGAAGCCAAATCTTGCAGTCCCCCTAATTGTAAATGAGATTGACTCATAGCAGAAATATCCTTTTGTAATGCGGCTAGATCATGAGTAATATCGTTATCCCGCCACAATCCCTGTAGGTGAGCCTTAACTTTATCCCATGGCTGTGAAGTGTTATAAGGTAGTGGTGTGACACAGATTGATTTAAAATCATCGTGACAACGTGTTGATAGAGTTGTTTTTAAATTAGCAATGTCCTGACCAAGAACGAGCACTACTTCCTCTAGCACATTTAATTTTGCTTCCAACTTCTTATCTATAGCTTCTTGTTCTAATAATGCTGAAGTAATATTTTTATTCAAAGCATTCACATAATGGGCAGTATGAATTTCCTGCACCAGGGCTGTAGTAGCCATAGCAAAGGTGGTTAATATAGAAATTAATGTTGTAATTCCCAAAATTAATACTGCTACAAATCGCTTTGGCCTAATCAACTCATTTAGAGTGTTTAAAACCTGCATAGCAGAATTATCATACCAGGGATCATTCCCCAAATCTACAGGCAACATCACAAAAGGAGGGCGTCTAACAATGATCATAGTACCTAACTCTTTTTGTTCTGCCGATGTTATACAATTGGTCAATTTACAGGAATGACAAACTATTTTATACGACTTCCCTTCCTGAGAAATATTCACAAAAGTTGCCTGAGCTAACAGCAATGCATTAGGATATGCTATACAGGCTTTCAGTCCGACAGGTTCAGATTTTGTATGATTGGGCTTCTTTTCCAGAAACATATTGGCTGCAGCAACCAGTCTAAAAAGATCAGTATGTTTCCTTGTCTTATTTTCATGTTTTGCAAACCAGTAGGGTTCTACAAATCCTGGAGAAAACCATCGCCTAAGTGGCTCTCCTAATCCAGTCCACGCATAATTGTGGTACTTGTCTTTATGGGTATCAATGTAATCTTCATAAAGTCCTTTGCCATTGCTCCTTTTAACCCCTGAATTAGAATTTGAATAGTCCCATATCTCATAATCATAATCAACAGGCCTAACCCACATCGCAGAATCCGAAAAGCCACAAGCTAGCCATGTAGGAAACTTAGACAAAGAAGAGTCCCAAAATTGATTCTTGTCTCTATATTTTCCTATACAGGGATCTATAGGTAGATCATGAACTTTCGTAAAGTTGTCATGATAATTAGGATTTCCCAAGGTCTGCATCTGAATCTCCCACATCCATCTCCTACCTGCATTCTCTTTGTCTGGCCCGTCAGTGAGAAAAGTACTGTAGCGTGTACTCAGGCAACCCGAAGGCACTCTCCCTTGAAGCGAAATGCAGATCGGAAGCGAGTCTGCCCTTCCCTCAAAGGTTATAAGAGAGGACAAACCAGTTCGTGCGTCAGAATCCTGAGCACCACCCATTCTCACTGAATCATTGGTTAACACTTTCAAAGGCTCAGGATCTAACCACCCCACGGGTTGCAAGATAGGGGGATTCGGGACATACGCCCAGTAGGAAACTCCCTCCACCCTTTGGGGAGCAGAGATAATGGCCAAAAAGGCGAGGAAATACATAGACGCTGTCAGGGATTTTCCTTGTTCAGTGAGCAGCTGTTTCGCTTCTCGTGTCAGATGACGAATCTTCGTCCATGTTATTTCTGCCGTGGGCCGGCTTAGTTTCATTTTCTTCATTTGCTGCTGGAGCTGCTTTTTCTGCTTCCGCCACCGTCTTTTCCTTCTTCTGCTTTGCAACAGCAGGTCGGATGAGGCGATCTGGGATCCAGATGGGGGAGTCGGCATTCTGTGGAAACACACAAGCATACCCTCGTCCCGAGGTGATTAGAACATCCGGCCCCTTCCAGAGGCCGGAAAGGAGATCTTTCCACATTACTAGTGGCAATGGAGATTGTCTTCTATCCTTGTTCCAGTGCCTTATTGCAGCACTATTTTGTTGATCATTTATATTTAAATGATTTAATGTAAATAAACTGTGTGACAACACATGATGAGGAGTATAATACTTGTTGGCTTGCTGTAGCCTCTGTATTTGCATCTTCAAGGTTTGATGGGCCCTTTCAATAATCCCTTGTCCTTGTGGATTGTAAGGGATTCCTGTGACATGTTGAATATGCCACTGCATACAAAACTGCTCAAATGCTTTGGCAGTATATGCTGGCCCATTATCTGTCTTGATCTGTGAGGGAATACCCATTACTTGAAAACTCTGAATAAGATGCTGAATCACATCTTTTACAGCTTCCCCTGTTCGGGCTGAAGCATGTATGAAATGAGAATAAGTGTCTATGACCACATGGACATAACACAATTTTCCAAAGGATGGAACATGAGTCACATCCATTTGCCAAATAACATTAGCCTTTAAACCTCTAGGGTTCACTCCCATTTTTAAGGGATGGTAGGCAACTGGGCAATGCTGGCATTGCTTTACTATTTGCCTAGCTTGTTCTCTGGTAATATGAAACATTTGTTTCAAAGCCTTTGCATTCTGATGATGTAAGGCATGACTCTCTTGTGCTTCTTGCATTGAAAAGACACCTTGAGACCGAGTTAATAAATCAGCCATAGTATTTCCCTGTGCTAGAGGGCCTGGAAGACCTGAATGACCACGTATGTGGCCTATGAAAAACTTCTCTTTCCTTTGGTGTACAAGCATTTGTAATCTTTGTAACAAAGGTAATATAGGTGATTTCCCTGACAAAAGGGCAGTTTCCAATGCTGGAAACAAATTAACTACATATTTAGAATCTGTGTATAAATTAAAAGGCTGCTGAAATGTCATGAAGGCTAAAATTACTGCTCTTATTTCAGTCTGCTGGGCAGAAGTCTGCTCTCCTTCTTCCCAGTATGAGCCATGATGATATGTATAAACTGCAGCCCTTCCAGTGGAAGAACCATCTGTGAAGATTAATATCGCTTGATCTAGAGGTTCTGATGAATACCAGATAGGAAACACAATTTCCACGGTCTTAGCAAATTCTATGAGAGGATGTTTGGGGTAGTGATATTCTATCTGACCTGTATAATTTTGTAAAGCCAAAATCCAATCTTCATTATTTTGTAATAATAAGTCTACTTGAGCCTTCTTATAAGGAGTTATTATAAAATGTGGCTCTCGTCCAAATAGTTCTCTAGATCTAATTCTACCTTTTATAATTAAAAGGGAGCACAAATAAGGAAAGTCAGCCAACATTTTTGCCTGAGTATGTGGTAAATGTAACCATTCCAATACTCCGTGTTGCCACAAACAGGCAGTGGGAGTATAAGCGGTTGGAAACACCAGCAGGCCCCATCTATCTTGATAATTTATTTGGTGAACCCTGGCACAGGCAATGGCTTCCTCAACAATATGTAATGCATTTAATGCTTCTTGGGTTAATTGCCTAGGCGACTTAGGATTTGCGTCCCCATGAAGTATAGAATAAAGAGGGCTTAAAGTCCCAGTGGTAATTTTTAAATAAGGTCTTAGCCAATTGATATCTCCTAACAGCCTTTGAAAATCATTTAATGTTTTCAATTTATCTCTTCGAATTGACAATTTTTGTGAACTAATATAATTAGTGCCTATAGTTTGTCCTAAGTAGCTCAATGGTCTGTCACGCTGAACTTTATCAGGGGCAATAACAAGTCCATAC